TTTCCCTGACCACGACAGAACCAAAAAGCATCATGACCACATTTCAGCAGCGACTTGAGTTCTTACATGGGGAGCTGGCTGTTCTATTCCTTCCCAGAAAGGTTTTGAGTATTTGAGCATCACCTTCTTGAAGAGAGAATACCTATTTTCTGTTCTATATGATGTAGAAAGTGAATGATATAAAATGTTCACTTTTTTTTTTTTTTAATTAGCCATATGGTCATACATTTAAAATCAGTAGAGAAAAATGAGATAATATGTTATTGGATGTGGCACATTTTGAGGTAACAAATAAATCAGTTTGTTGGCTTGCTCTGAGATCTGTCTATTGTCAGCATGTTCCTGCCGTACACACTCTGCTTTGCTGCCAGCCTGTCCCCAAGAGAGCTCCATGACCGAAAGGCCATGGTGGAGCTCCAGGGCCCTCCCAACACAAAATTGTCTTAGTGCTTACTATGTGAGCCATAAAAAAAGAAAACCTTAAAAATGCCGATTGTAATCCACTCTGTCTTAGCTTCATGAACCCTACCTATGTGTGTAAAATTTTAAATTCCTGTAAGTAAAACAATAAGAAGAAGTTGAATGCTAGCAGTAGATCCTCTTGTATTTTTTTCCTGTTGAACAGCCTAGGAATGACTTGCCCAAAGTATAATTGGAACGTTGAAGTGATACTTTAAAGAACTAAGAACTGCTAGAACTTTGGCAAGTTTTACTTATTAAAATGCAGCAGAGAAGATAAAAATATCATACAGAATTGAGGACCATTCCGCTCTCAAGTGTGAGCAGTGAAACCATGAGGAGGAAGGGCACTTTTCACTGAAAATTATCCCCAAGCTGAAATAAAACTTCTAAAAATAGCAAATGCCTTTTTCTTGTTTCTTTTGCTTTTCTTTTAGCTAACGTCTGCTTGATTTTTAAGCTTCAGCCTGAGGAATGAAGATGTATATATATACACGCACGCACTTCCATGTTTATATCTGTCTGTGTATGTGTTCATGTGTGCGTTAAAAAAAAGCCCTTTGCCATCGAGTCTATTCCGACTCATAGCTACCCGAGAGGACAGAGTAGAACGGTCCCACAGGGTTTCCAAGGAGCGGCTGGTGGATTCGAACTGCCAACTTTTGGTTAGCAGCCGAACGCTTAACTACTGTGCCACCAGGGCGCCAATGTATATACATCATAATTTGGTAATAATGTAGACAATATAATCAAAAAAGGCTCTGCTAGTATTACCCACATTTGTGTTGTGGAAATATTTTGTCTTCTCCGTTGAGCCCTTTCTTTGTTATGTAGAAAATAGGCACTGCTGACTTGATTGCATATTCCTTTATTTATGTGTTATTTTCACATTTCAAGCTGTTGGAGAATTTTTGGTATTGTGGCCTCAATATATATCCCAAAACAAACCCAGTTTGCACAAAGTTTATCAGATTAATCTAGCTGATCAATGTTAAGGACCAAATCACAATAGGTCCGTGTTTTGATGGTGCTAAAGACTTAGCTATTGGTTTGCCTACAGCCAGCGTGCTGGTTTTGCAAAAATTTTAGAATAGATGTGTCCTATGTTTAAATATATTTAATGATGTATTCCCTCTTTGGTGAAAGAGCTGCATATATGCCAGGGTTTCTGATGGATCCTCACTCTAGAAGCGGGTTTGCCTTGAGGGTTCGCTGGGCAGAACTGTTTCACCTACTTCATTTTGATCTTGACGTCACCATTGCCCAACAGCCTTGTTGATGTTGATTGTCGTTATTCCTTGCCATCAAGTCAACTCCAACGCATGGCGACCTCGTTTATAACAGAACGAAAAGCTGCCCAGTCCTGAGCCATCTTAGGATCCTTGGCTCTTCCAGCAGTATATCGGACAATATTCTCTTCTGACCCATAGGGTTTTCATTGGCTGATTTGGGGAAGTTGATCGCAAGCCTTTCTTCCTAGTCTGTGTTAGTCTGGAAGCTCTGTTGAAACCTGCCCACCATGGTGGCATAGCTTGCAGAATCATAGCAACATGCAAGCCACCACCGGATGACGAACTGAGAGATGAGTGGTGGTGATATTGATGAGCTAGGCAAAGTAACACCAGATGCGTCAACACAGCTCTTAGAGAAGATGCCCAGTCATTTTAATGGTGGTGAAAATGGATTTTTTTACTGGACAGTTGATACTTTTCCCCCCATTAACTCAATAAAAGTTTGAATAAAGTACCGAGATAAAGGTCAGATACATTGACAGGCTTTGGAACAAGTTCTTTTTCTTCATTATTAACATGCCAGGGTGCCATCAAGGTTGTGAAATAGCGAAGGAGCCCCTTTGAACTCCATCTCTAGGTGCCATCAAAGATTATCTGTATTCACATCAGTGGTCCTTTCATTTCTTTCGGATTCTCTCTGTAGCCATTAAGAAAGGATTGTAATAAAAGGTATTTAAGAGCTGCATAGATCACGTCAGAGCAGAAGAAAATTGTCTACCGATTTAACCATTCATCCTACTTTATGGTGCAGAAGTTTCAAAAGGGGAACAAGATGAAACCCAGCAAAAGATAACATGCTGCTTTGTGCTGTTTTTATACTTTGGCTATCACATTTTTAATGAGTATGTAGATATGATTTCTATATATCTCCCACTAGTACATTAGCTCTTATGTGAGAGGAAAATCTCATCCATGTTGAGTTTCATGGATTTCATACTCTTATTTTTCTGAATATTATTAATAGGAGGGACAGCTTAAAATTCTTAAGGAGATTACAAAATAGAAAAAAAAAACAGTAAATAATTTTCCATTTCCTGTTATATCAGCACATAGATTCAGGACTCCAAACTGGTGTCCTTTGAGAAGCCAATATTGTTACTGTATTGTTGAAGGCAACAGACCTACAAAATGACTGTTATCTTTGCCTGGTTCTGTCTTTCTACCCGGTGCAGCAAGCCTCTCTCAAGTAATGAACCAAGAGCAAGGTGACAAGGCTGGGTCGATTTCAATTCTGTTTTTTTATATTTAAAAGCAATGCACTGGATTCATTGATAGGCTGTACACAGGTCAAAGGCATCATTGAACGGCTTAGAAGTGGCTTTGGTTAAAGGAACAAAGAGCTTCCCACACTGAATGTCCTTGTTATAAAGTTGAGATTGAGTGACTCTCTCATTGAAAATGACCTTGAATGGGATGTCCAACTGTCATTCACCTCTGAGCTTTAGCTGTGACTTCAGCCAAGCTGTATCACAACTGAGAGAAAGAAGACATGCATTTTTAATTTTTGTCTTGAAAAATAAATGATGAAATTCTTGAAATTATTTGTGACAGTTCCATTATCTCTATCAGCATTTCAGTCTTTTATGCTGCAAGGATACGAAGTAAGTCTGTATTTTCTTATAATAATATTTTTGGAACAAAGGAACTTACTCAGATTCTGATATATTATGTGTGTGTGTGTATATATAGATATATACATATATATGCATATATACATATATACAGATGTGTATATATATATATATAGCTACACACACATAGACACACACGTACGTGTATACACACATAGAGAGAGAGATGCACAAATACACACATATCTAAGTACATAAAATATCTGCAAGAAAACTTAGTGTATATAGTGATTTAGGCTATATTTATTTTAGGAAATCATCTGTAAACACAAATAAGCAGTTTAATAGCTTAATAACTCCACTCAAAAATTTTAAAGGACTTGTTTTGTTTTACTCTGATTTTCTCAGAGGTGAATATGGGAATATTTTTTATAAACATGTGGTTTACTTCCTTCATTCCTACCCTTCTTATCCTCAATGCTTTCTTTTTTCACCAAAGACAAAAACTGTGTGTGATCAAAGATCATAATCATTATTTCCATTTTTAATGTTTTAAAGGTATAAAAGTTAGAGAACAGAAAATTTTGAAATATAGAAAAAATTAAAGGCAAACAGTTTCATTAATTTTTGTTACCATTAGAGATTTTTATGATGCATTTTACTTAAAGCACAAACTCCATACTACTTTGCACCCTGCTTTGTTCATTTAAATTTTATCCTAATAAATTTATCCAAGGTGCTGCATGGTCATTGTAACTATCATTTTTAATGGTTGACGATACTCCTTTGTACATAAAAGCTGTCATTTTTTTTAACATATCCTCCTGTTATTCATTAGATTCAATTCAAAGCAAATGTAACTCTCAGGATTGCTGCAAGATCTGGATTTAACTAGCTCATATCAAAATGTATAATAAACTATAACAGTTTCTCTCTTTTGTCCATTCTGTCATTTGTTTCGTTGGTGATTGTAGATGCAACTAAAGTACCCCAAAGCAAACAAACATGTATTTCATAAATTATATAGGAATTTATCACAGTTAAAATTGTACATAATAAGTGAGAGCATTAGATTGTTAGTAGCCACTGTGTAAGGAGCTCTGGTGGCTCAGTGGTTAAGTGCTCAGCTATTAGCCAAAAGGTTGGTGGTTCAAGTCACCCAGTGACTCCTCAGGAGAAAAGACCAGGTGATCTGCTTCTGTAAAGATTATAGCCTAGGAAACCCTATCGGGCAATGCTACTCTGTCTATAGGATCGCTGTGAGTCAGAATCAACGACACACACAACAGTCACTCTGTAATGCCTGCAATATACGAACTATCAAACCTACTTTGATCCTCAACTTTCTTCCACTCTGCTCAATCAAAATTAATCCATTTCATCTCCTTCCTTCCTGTAGCAATGTGTTAGTATCATTCTCAAAGAGCTTATCCCATTCACTGCTAGTTAAACTCACTTCTATCCTCGTACCAACCCCCTCTACCCTTGATCATAAGCTCTCAGTGGGCAGCAATGGTTCTCCATTTCTCAGTGGTCCTCGGATAGCTGATGTAGTAACTTACATGTTCACTGAGTATTACAACACCTGGTTTTGTTTCATCTTTCATGTTTGCAGAAGGCAATATTGGGAAACGTAAAGATGTTAAAGGTGTTTACTCTCTCGTTTTTCTTCCACCAGTGGGATGGAGTAGGACCTCTTCCAGACTGTGCAGAACCACCAAAAGGGATCCAGATGCTGTGGCACCCATCAATAGTCAAACCCTACCTCACACTGCTCTCTGAGTGCTCAAATCCAGACACGCTGGAAGGGGCGGCAGGCGCCCTGCAGAACTTGGCTGCAGGGAGCTGGAAGGTATGATCAGTTCATTGCAATAACAAGAAATTTGGAATTATGGCCCAGTCCTTAGAAAATAATAGAAGTGCAGTTTTGAAACATGCAGTTCTAATAAAGTTTTTAAGAATACTAGAGAAAGACCAATTATATTGAACTGTTGTACTTGAAAAGGTATTCCTTTCCAAAAAATCTTCTTAAGGGTTCAGGGGTCCTTGAAGACAACCACTCCAGATTGCAGAGGAGCAGATGTAAGTATAGTCATTGAAAATGCTGGGCTTTGCTTTCTAATCCATTTGTGTAGCTGCCCAGCTTCTTTTTCAGGGGGGACTATGACATGTTGAATTTGTTCAAAGCACTGTCATTGACTGTGGTGGCAGCTAGTACCTAAACACCACGTATAAAAGCCCTTGTGAACCTTATTATATTGTACCAGGTTCCATCTCCACTGTTTGAGAGATTCTGTCCCCGTAGTTTGAGGGTCCCTACAGGGAAAGAACCCAATGCATGTTTAAATTATGGGCTTACAGAGAAGAATAGTACTGCTAGTTATCCTTGGCAAAAATGCTAAGTAAACCATATATATGACTGGGGAGGAATCTAGGATGGCCTTTGTCTCTGAGTCCTTATAAGCACACACTGATTCCTGATTGATTTTCATGGAAAGTTTCCTCCAACTTTTCCACAAAAGAAGTTTTCTGCAAAAAAAGAGATTCATCATAACAAAGAATTATAGAGTTGGGTCACTAACTTTATTTGCACACTAAAAAAGTGTCACCTCTTAGAAGAATGAGGACATATGGGGAAGACATCAGAAGAGAAAGCTTGGACCTCTGCTATCCGTTTTCTATTCATTTAGTGTCAAAGAATGAGGCTTGAGAATATTCATAACTCACTCTTAATAGTCACTTTCTTCATAACAGTGTTAATATAGACACATAGCTAGAGAACTCTCAGAAGCTCAATGCCATAGGCACCACACACAGTGGCCCCAGCATTGTGATGGAACTACACCCTCCCCTCTTGTGATACCTTCCAAAATCTGCCTTCTTGTCACTTCTCTCTCTTTCTGCCAACCATCTTTTGCATTGCTATAGTCCCAGCTATAGCACTTCTTCTTTCTTGGATGTGACATCTCAGGTCTTACAGCCCAGCCCCTGACAATACTTTATTTGGTAAATTCTTCTATTACCAACAGAGACTACTAAGAAAGAAGCAGAAGAGTCTTGAACAGCTGAAGTCGATATCATGAAATGAAAGTTGTTCACTAAAGTGCCTTCCTTTATACAAAAAACCCCTCAGTGCACACTCCAGATGCAGTTATTCATATTTTAGACAAGGTTTAACAACCCTGGTCACTCACAGTCCACATCAGATTACAAAAACCATAGTAGAAAATGGGAAGAGTACCTCCTATAAGCAGACATACAGACCTACCATAATAAGGAGCGGTAGCTACCCTGACAGCAAAGAGAAAAGATAGATTTTTTAAAATACACATGAGGCTGCAAAAAAGACAAGCTCTCAGAGCCTATTCAGTGTTTTGACTGTTCCATCTATTATACGAATTGATAATTTATAATGCTGACCCTTTAGCATCAAGAAAATGCTAAAATACTGCTAGTAATTTTAGAAGGCAGAAAGCATTTTAGAAAAATTTCCATCCCAATAGTTAGAGGTTTGACTCTTCATGACGTCAACCTCACTGATGAGAAGTACTAGCTTCCCTAATAATTCTAGAAAATAAGATAGTCCTCAGACAGGGCAAGGGGTTACTAAGGCATATTTCTATGTGATTATAAATATACATACATACATAAGAGTTTTCTTACCAAAATACAGATATACAAACATGCATAAAAGTTCATCACATTTTTTAAATCTATTGTATATTTATTAATTTGCCATATTATATGGGGAGGAAGGATGGGCAATCCATAGGGAAGATTTGAGACGATTGTCATTAAGCCAAACAATGATTGTTGTAATTTCAAAAATATTTCAGAATGATTTGTACAGAAACCAAACAGAAATTTTTACTTAAAAAAAAGACTGGGTTTTAGAAAAATCTTGAATAATTAAAGGTTGGTTTAGGATACACAGTGACATCATGTTTCATGTGGACAGTGTTAACATCTGAAATCTAGAGTCCTAAAAATGTATTTTTATGGTAACTGTTGAAATTTAGTGATATTTTTTAGTATCCATAGCTTTTTATGGCCCGAACAAAAGCAGAAATGTGGAGGTAAAACACGAGAATTTTACATGGGGACAGCTTTTTATAGACCTCATCATCGGAAACAATAACTTCTGTTTATGGGAAGATCTATGCACTCTTCTTCTTTGGGAAATTGACTAGCAAACTAGATCTTCATAATGGCCCTAAACACTTTTTAAACTTGAAAACACTCATTACTTGGTTTATGAGTGTCAGAAAAACATAATGGTATTATGGCAGAAGCAAATGATAAATGTTTTCATAGCCAACCTTTTTGTTTTTACACTCCTTTTTTTTTTTTGTCACAGAATGCTAGAACAATGGGATATAATAATTTGAAGATTTCTAAAACTTGAATAAATGTGCTTTCAGCCCTCATTTATGAATTAGTTCTATTGTAACTAAACATTATGAAAACCCAAGTTTTAAACTATAGAAATATGTCCATCTTACTTGCTAGCAAACGAAACATTTTAGATATCTTTGTATAGGCAATTTTCTCCTAAAATGTGACTATTCTCAAAGAATCTATTTAATTACCCATTTATTCTTAAATAAGATGGAACAGAGCAATATTTGGATATTAATTTATTAATATTTAATGAAGTAACACGATACTGACATGGGTTTAGTGAAGAAGGAAACAGAATCTTTGGCCATGTGGCCCAAAGTAATCAAAGATAGCTGGGAAATTTGAGACTTGTCTCTAGAGACAGGGGCCATAGCCTCAAGAAGGACACTGAATTAACGTTGCTTAATAGTCAGTGTATCTCGTAAAAGTGAACCAAGGAAGATAAGTGGAGTATAACAAATAAAAGTAAGAATCATAGTTTGACATCTAAGACAAAGAGAACTGTTTTTGTCCTAGTTAATGGTGTACTGTAAGGCATGCGGTTTAAATGCAAAGAAACAGAGTTTTTAAAGATTACGGTGAAAATAGGCCATGAAGCACAATGCCTAATGGGTTAGAAATTGGCTCGGACTAAAACCAGAGGCTGTCCGAGAACTCTGTCCAACCAGAGTGCTTCTGTTGTTGCTGCTGTTGTTGTGTGCCATTGAGTCAATTCCAACTCACAGCAACCCTACAGGCTCCTAGAAGTAATAAGCTCAGATGGAGATGATGACCAGCCTGAAGGAGGACAAGGATGGTCCCAACCTAAAGAGGAGGAGATAGAAAGGAGCAGGGTCATGGCCACATCATTGGACCTAATCACACATGACTTAGTGATTTCTTACCTATAAAGACCCAGTAAAAAGTACTGTTAGCAAGGATTGCACCTGTATTGTAAATGCCATACACATCCAAATTGACTATAGAACGTAACTGTAATTCAGTGGTTTGGTATTAGTTTAATCCTTTTCATTGAACAATCTGATTTCTGCAGTCTTAAGTTACCGAACTCTAGTCTGAGTCTGAGGTTGTACAAACAGCTGCACCTCAGGGATGTCTACTTCCAGCCAAGATTCCAAGATGGAGTATTAGGGCCTGGGTTTACCTTCCTTCAAGGAACAACAACAAAAATAAATAAATAAATAAAAGTAAAAAATATATGAAACAATGATTTTCGAGACCTTAGGCATTAGGCAACAAAGGATAGTGATTTCTGAGAGACAGGAAGCAAGGTGAGCGCTGTGATTGCCCCAGCTCACTGACTTGAGAGCATTTCCCAGGCCATGGAGCATGGAGGGAGCAGCCCAGGCAGAACCCAGCAGGCTCCCTGAGTTGACCAGAGGGAGATGAGAGTTCAGAGAGAACAAAGCAGCTAGAGTTCACCCATCAGAGTATCAAAGAGGAAATTGCTGCACAGAGACAGAACTCCACAAATCTGCAGAGGCTTCCTTGAATATCCAGTAGACAACTGATAAACACACGTGTGTGAGTGAAGTACCCAAGACTTGGGAAAACAACCATCAGAAAGGATTAGAGGGAAGAATACTCGGCACTCACATAGGGGTGGAAATAGTGCATATTCCCAACAGCCAGTTAGGAAAACCTCATAATTCATGGGCCATTGGGTAGATTATTCAGAAGAGTCTTGCCTCAATAGTGGCAAATAATTATCCCTGAACTAAACTGCTCTGGTCCTTACTATCAAATCTTAAAAACAAGACCAAAAGAGACCAAGTTTTCAAGTAAATTAACTGCATCCCAGAACAAAGCTTAAAAGTATCTATAGGAATACAAAATATCCAGCAAACAACAAATTAAAATTAAGAATGTCTGATATCTAATCAAAAATTATCCTGCAAACAATAAACAGGAAAATATGATCCATAATAAAGAAAAAAATCAATTAAAACAAACCCAGAGCTGACACAGATGTTAAAATAAGCAGATAAGCCATTACTGTAGCTATATTGTTTTAAAAGTTAAGTAGAGATATGGAAAATATATAAAAGACCAAATTAAAACATATAAAGTTGCCAATACAATATCTGAAATGAAAAATACAAAGGATGAGATTAACAGCAGATGAGACATTGCAGAAGAAAAGGTTAATGAATTTACAGACAGCAATATAAACTATCAAAAATGAAACACAGAGGGGAAAAAAAATGAGCAGAGCATCGGTGAGCTTCAAATGGCCTGATATACGTGTAATTGGAATCCCCAAAGAAGAAGAGAGAAGGAAGAAAGAGGACATAAAAAATATTACAGGAAATAATGGCTGAAAATTTTACAAATGTAATAAAGACCATAAAATGACAGATCCAACCAAGCTGCTCAAGGAGTCCCAAGCACAAGAAACATGAACTAAACTATACCAACACATCATAATCAAATTGCTCAAAATCAGTAATG